GGGGGGGAGGGGGGGGGGGGGGGGGTGTGTTGTGTGTCAGATGAGTGTTTTGCATTGTTCCGAAATAGGCATCTCCCGTTCTTTAAAATGACACATGACTTATTATTATTTCGTACCACTGTTTTGTATAATAAATAAATTTGATCGAATAATAATTCTCAAATTTTCTAGGTATAGATTTGATTAAATAATAATTCTCAAATTATCAAGCAACAGACTAAAGTGATTAGAGTTGAAATCTCGGTTGGCTTATTTCGGAAGCAAATTAATACAGTGTGTTTAAAAATTGCGAGACTTAAAATTTACATATTATTACAATATCCCATTCTTGTAACCTCATTTTTTTTTTATAGATATATATATAATCTTAACTTTTTAAGCCCTTGAGCGCAAACAAAGTTTTTAATTTTTTATTTTTCCAGCACGGAATTATAAATTAAAACGTAGATGCAGGCTGACATGCTCTGAGATTGAATCAAATATTATCAGCTTTAAAAGAGGAGAGATTGATTACTATCCAAAGTTAGAGAAAAATCAATCCTAACTTAATCAAATATTTTTTTATTAATTCTATAGGTTTTTTTTTAAATATGTGCCTTTATATTTATTAAAATGGAATAACTTCATTAGTAATTAATTTGTATAATAACAATTTAGATAATTAAATTATATAATTCTTTTAATAATTAAAAATAAAATTATTATTACAAATTATTTATTAATCAAATAATTGAATTTACAATAATAATTATTCATACTGTACATACACAGACAAAAAAACTTTACCTAATAAAGATAAAACATCAGATGCAAACTAAGTGTTTACACAATATTAAATATACATATTAATTAAATGTGTGCAATGATTCTATAAATAATACTTTATAGTACAAATTTCACACTTTTAATCGATAAAAAATTGGAAGTAACCCGTGACTGCTCGATATGTTTGCAGCAAGGAAACATTCAAATTTCTCCAAAAAGTTGGTTTTTTTCCATCAGTCAAAGACTGAAAAAAAAAAAGATACACTTACCGAGCGGCGGAACAATTGCCACGAGAAACAAAACGGCACAAGCGAGCCTCACGTGGCTCGTACGTTTCTCGATGCACATAACGCGACGTCGTTGACACGACATGCGTTCAAACGTTCGTACCGTGTCGCGCGACCGCTCGCGTGGCTCTGAGTGTTCCTCGTTAGAGATTTCGCGTTTCAAACGTTCTCTCTGTCTCTCTCTTTCTCTCTTTCCTCTTTCTCTCTCCGTCATCGCTCCGATTCTCATCTCGCGCTTTGCGCGTCGCGAGACCGGCCGGCGACGGCGCACGACACAGCCTGGATGCTGCGAGCGGTCCAGCGGGACGCCTGCACGATGGCAATCCGTTCTACGACCTCGCGAATCGTCCACGGTTGGCGCCACTCAACTGAGATCGGAGTAGATTGCCGTGAATCGCGCGCGAATCCGCGCTTTTATCATAGGAAAACGCTATTACAGATCCCTTTCTTTCTATTACTTTATCGAACAATTCGATTATTAGCCGGGGGAAATTATTTAACGACGTAAAATTGATTTGAGAAGTCGAACAATTAAACAGTGTTATTATATAATTATAGTGTTATTATATATAACAGTATTATAGACAAGTTGAAAAAAAAATTGCATAAGCGATTTAATTTAATTTTTAAAATAGAAGTTTGAAAGCTTCTTCTTGTTTGATGAATTTTACGTCGTTTTATTATCTTTATTATTTTTTTTTTAAACGACATATTTTTATTTCCTGCGTTTTCAATTTTAGCAGTTACATTTTTTAATTTAAATTAAAATTCTTTTTAAATTAAATATTTTGTTTAATGTTTTGTATAACGATTTATGATTCTTATCCATAATTATCATTCGATGATTCATATATAATTTCAAATCTTGAAAGATTGAAATTAGTACAATTCCGACGAGTTTAAATTCCCGTGTAAAGAATACGTGAAAAGAGAGAGGACGCACTGTCAAATATCACTCCCCTGGTCTACAATTCCATAATCAGAGATATATTCTCGTACTTTACTTATAATTCGATATCCGTACAGTTTGCGATTTCTAAAAAAAATTTTGTTCCTCATTTAATTTCAAGCTCTTTGCATTCACTCGTGACAATGAAAATGACTAAAGTAAGATTGACTTGTCCGCGTAAATTATCAAGTTTATCGAAACATGTACAAATTTCCTTTCGAGCATGATGACTCGTGGCTTTTACATATACAATCCGCTCCTACAACGTTCACATGCGCCGTCGTCCTCGCCGTTACCTATCCAGCTCCTGTAACTCCCTCGGATATCGATCCTCCGGTACGCGTTCGCGCGTTTCGAACGACGCAAGCTCGGGTTTAAGCCGTAGTAGAGGGATACTACCCTCCCGGCGAAGGTAGTTTATGCCCGGCGCATCCCCCCGTCACCCCCGATCGCGTCCTCTTCCCCTTTCTCTCTCTCTCTATCCTCCCCTTTCGTCCTCATGAACAGGAGGCACGGCGATCGGGCAAGATGAGCGACCAGGAGGATCTGGATTATTACATCATGTTCCCGTCGTTTCCTCCATCTCCGAAGGACCCGACGCTGACCGCGACCGGGCAGGATCAACGGGAGGAGTTCGTGTTCGTGTACGAGGAGGACAAGCGACCGGTCGTGATCCTGCTAGGATGGGCCGGTTGTCAGGACCGATACCTGGCCAAGTATAGCGCGATCTACGAGGAAAAGAGGTATCCCGATCTATATTTTTATCTCGTGCAAAGTCTCGCGAATGAGGACAATGACAAGACGAGACGCGGTTATAGATTCCTAAAAGAGATAAAAAAAAAGGCCGGACATTATCTTGAGAGTATTCCAAGTATTCGTATATATACGGGTATATATATCTCTAAATCACGGCATATGATGTGCGAAAACGAATGGGTGATGTCCAAAAATAGAATGGAGAAATGTGTCAAGTCGGCGAAATTATTTTAGCGTTCTCTTCGTAAAATTCTCGAGTTGTACAAGTTAGAAACCGCGTAAGATCCAGATAAACAATGATCGATGCACATATTTACAGTTGCATTACGCTGCGTTACACGGCGCCGGTGGAATGCCTATTTTGGCGCCGGGACAAGATGCCGTACATCGGCAAGCGGCTGCTGCAAGTGATCACCGATAAACGATTGAACGAGCATCCGATATTCTTTCACGTCTTCAGCAACGGCGGTGCATTCCTGTATCAGCATGTCAGTCTCGCGATGCAAAAGGCTAACACATTGTTCAAGGTAGAATATGTAATGCGATATGAAAAGATTGTTTTCTTATTTTTCCATAACAAGAGGATACAAAATGATACCCTGATCCTGTCAGATTTTATACGACATATTTTCTCACGAGATCGCTGTGAATTATTTTTTAACGAATATATATCGCAACTGTGCTATTTTCAACATATGTTTAATGTCTCACAATATCGATTAATTGGCGATGTAAGGTACAAAAATCTATCTCTGATTATAAAATTGCAGATCAAGGGAGTGATATTTGACAGTGCGCCCGGTGAGAGAAGAATAACAGCCCTTTTCAAGGCGATCAGCGCGATCATCGGTGGTCATCCTCTCACGAATCTACCGATGTCGTTCGTCATCACGTTCTTCCTCTCCGTACTCTGGTTCTTCGAGGTAAGCGGAATATATCGCATACGTCATAAATGAAGAATTATACATCATATCTAAAAATTAGATTATTTCAAAGCTGTATCGATGCTTTATAGTTTATATATTAATTTGATCGTCAGGTAATTGCACAGGCATTCAGTAGATCGTCCATCCCGACAAATCCGATCGCCCTCGCCGAGGAAGCCTATTCCTGGCCTCAACTGTTTCTGTATTCCAACAGCGATACCTTGATTCCAGCATCTGTGAGTTTCGTTCATTTTTACCTCAATAATTCCACGATAATGGCTCTCTTGGATTTTTATACTTATTTTTTTCCAATAATTTTTTTTAATATAAGAGAAGATAGAGGAAAAACCCAAAAATTTATTCTTTATTTATATAAAGATTGTGGACTTATCAAATGCCCTGGATAAAAAAAATCTCTTATTGCAGGGGAAATTCACGAAATCAACGTCATTGCTAGTTATAAATTATATGTTATGCTAATGCTGTAATAAACCATTTGAAATTTATTCTTCTACATCTGATAAATCTCACTTACCTGAAATTTCGTCAGGACGTCGAGAAGTTCGCTAGCCGGCGAGCTGAACGGGGCGTGAACGTGCAGCTGGTCCTGTTCACCAACTCACCGCATGTCAAGCACTATGCGACTTATCGCGACGTTTACGTCAACACCGTATGCAGCTTCATCCACGAATGTTTGACCTCGCCGAGCCCGTCGAGGAGTTTGATGGATGTTCGCGACGACGATCGCGATTCCCAGAGCTACGATGCGGTCCCAGGTCTCACTAAACGCGTCGTACTACCCCATGAGGCCACCAAGCAGCAGAACTAGAAAAATCGAGAGACGCTATTATTAGATAAGATAGTCACCTGCTATGTGAAATATCGCGCTGGAGGCGGCGCAGGTCTCGCGAGTGCAATGGAGAGAGGATATTTATTAATTACAATTCTTATGTATACATTTTATAAAAAGAATCTATAAAGTACGAGTATATAAAATATAGAAGAAATCGCTTGGAATCCGTAATTACGATCTTCAATTCTTCAAATTGTTGATTTCTAATCGTTAGGAGAATAAACTTTTTTTATTAAAGTTAAAAAATTAATTGGCAAGAAAATTAAAAAATGAATGGTTGATTAAATGGACAAAATTGAAAAGAGAAATGAAAATTCTCTAAAATATTTTGAAAGCAATTCCTGTTTTCGAAGATTAAGAGTTGCAAAATTATGCGGAATTAATTCCTGGCGATTCTTATTTTATATGATAACGAGGCGATATCCGAGATGCTGGAAACGGTGCTACGTCTGTTGATGCATAGAGCTATTTTATACGAAGCTGGAGTATTATCCTCGAGAAAAATTATTTAAATGAAAAACGCGAGAACACACACGGTGGCGTGAGATCTTTAAAATTCTGTTAATTGTATTTCAATGTATTTCAACGTGAGAATGTAATTAAAATATGAAAATTTTTATCAAAACTAATTTTAATTTATATCAATACATTTACTCTCTACTCTGCGATAATTATTAGTTTTCATATGTAGCTCGAATATAACGCATAATCTAATTTCCTACAATTAATAAAACTTTCGAGACATATAATACAGTGGTGCTATATTTTATCGGATATAATTTTCAGCAGATGAGAGAAACCAGATGCCTATATGAATTATGTGCACTGTTTGTTTGTCATGTTAGACACGAAAGTATTCGTTTTATGCATCTCGCATAACAATCCGGATAATGAATCTTGTTTATCGGATGAGGACGGGTATTTTTCTTCGATTAAAATGATGAGAACGCGTCAAAGATTTGAATAGGCTTCTGGGTGATACGCTCGCAGAGAAAATTGTGCAACGCAATGTTATCGCTTTTACTCTTTTTCCTACGCAAAGAAAAGAACCCGCACAATAGAATCAAGCTGGACTTGATTTAGCTTTCGCAATTCACGATCCAAGTACATGATAGCACTTAATATCGATTCGGAAAAAAGAATAAAGAATTCTTCTTTCGTGTCCTGAAATATAACAGTGATAAACTTTTGGGAACCTCGATACTCGAGAGTATATAATTGTATTAGAATATCTCTCGTTAAAATACACATCTCTATATATACAAATAACATAAATAATATAAATATATTTTGATCTGTCGATTAGAGTTATACGAATAAAGACTGATAAATACATATAAAATTTCGATTTCATTTAAAAAATGTCTCTTTTATGTTGCGTATCATAAATTGATAAATTCGCTCCTAGAGAGAGCTTATATCGATAAAATATATTTCAGTGTTTTGTTTTGTTTTTATTTTATCAAATATCGATTTTAATATTTTTTTTATCAAACGTTAAGTTAAAAAGGTTATCATCAATGCGCAAAACACAATCCATAAACTTATCGTTTTCATCCGAGCATTGCTTGGTTTCTTAACTTGCTTAGAAGCGAAAACACATATTGAGCTTCGAGAAATAATTTCTCAAAATTCAAAAAAAGCTTTTAAGGCTCGTCAATTTCGAAACCGGATGAGAGTCAAAACTGTTTCGAATCATCTAATTACGTGTTAATTTCTTTCGCCGCGACGAATCTAAACTCTGTCTTTTCGAAGGGACAAAATTGTGAAGAGTACAATAGAATTAACGCCCTGAGTGTCTTTGTAGAGAAAACAGAACAACAAAAAGAGGAGGCATTGCCGGAACACGTGGTCAAACCGAAAGGCAAATTAACTGCTCTCTCTGCAATAAAGTGGGTACAGAAAAAATCCTATATTTTTAAACGCGCATATTTAAATACATGACAATAATTTTCAACAGCTTTAAAAAATCACGTCAAAGAAAATCTAAAAAAACGACTGAATCTAAGGATCCTGCGTTCTACAACGATAATAATAAAAAATGTTTCCAAAAATATAATTGTACAGATATTTACTTAAAGTAAAAATTATCTTTCACTTATTTTCGCTGAAAGTAATGCACATAGCTTTTATTTCTAAAATCCCTGAAATCTATGCAGAACACTTGATATGCAAAAATGGTCGGAACTTTTGCAAGATTTTAAAGCACACGGCGATCAAATCAAGAGCGATCTGGATCCTCAAGACAATAAATTAGATTCTAATCGAAAATCACAAATTGAAGCTATTCAAAATAAAATCAAGGCAAAACAATCTAACAAGGAAATCCTGGAAGTAAAACGCGATATAGTACGTTCCTTTCGCTTTATTTGAAGATTACGATTAAAATGTGTGTTTCTTAATTAAGTTCCAAAACAGCACGCTTAATATTTTTTAGCTAAAAATATAATTTTAATAGTTATAATAAAATCCTCCAAATAAAAAGGCTTCCTTGATTTATCACAAAAATCAACTAATGCTAATAAGAAAATATTTTCAAAACAGATTGCGGAGAATATAACGAAGCAGGGTAAAAAATTACGTGCGAGTCCCGTAAAAAGAATTCCAGCGACGAGCAATTTCATCTACGAATTCAATCCATTCGCCAATGCCGAGCAATTAAATTCATTGTCGCGGACTTGTTTGCGACCTACGAGTAATTCTGAACAAAAATTACCTTGTGCGAGAACAGGTGTGCGGAATTAATTATACATTCAATCTCTTTGCATCAATACTACATATTTCTGTTTAAACTTTCAAACCGTACATCTTATTTGCATAATCGATTAAAATACATTTTTCAGAGCAAAAGTATTTTAATATTAATTATTTAATTTGTTGATATTCCTTTTTCTTTTAATTTTGAAGAGATATGGAATTATTTAAATCATAGAAACATATAACACTGTTTTTAATATTTATATTCATTAATTATATTAATGTATTTAGATATCACGTCATTCGTCAATTCAAATAGTAATGAGGAAAACGGAAACTTCCTGAAACGGAAGTCGTCTGCTGTCTTACCGGAATTGAAATCGCGTATTGATTTCGTTAAGGATCATTCGGATTGGAATATAACGGATTCTACCCAGAATACTTGCTTGCCAATACTTGGCAAAGCGAATTCGGCGAAGACATTGAGCAAACAACGGCTTGACAATGAATGTAAATAGCTTTCTATTATTTTCTTTATACAGAATAATTCTCTTCGCTTCATTTGGATTCATGATATTGAATCATAAATCTAAAAAATATACTTTCATCATGTATGCTTCAGGCGAGCCAAGTGACATAGATCATGAAGTGGAGAAAGTAAAGTCAGCTTGGCAAGCATTACGAGCGGAAAGAAATTGGACGAAGGGTAAAGATTGCATCGGCAGTGTTCATACGAAAAAATTGTATGAAATATTGGAAAAGGTGACATGCGAAGTAGACAGAATTCAGGAACGCTATATGGATCCCAATGCGAATCATTACTTGCGTAAAAGCGCGACAAATGTCCTCAAAACAAACAGTAAACCGAGTTTAGAAGAAGAAGCCGAAATCATGAGAAATATAATTTTTCCCAAGGGAAAGACGAAACTCGAATCGGAAATCTTTAATTTGAAAAATTTTGATACCGAAATGACGAATAAACAGCCGACTAAAAATACATTTCCGTCGAAACATATCGCGAAAAATCGATCTGTACACACTAACGCATACGGGCATAATATTGATAATGATATTATATCAGAGAGTATAAATGCATTGAATAGCGATAAAAAACAACATACAACTACAGATATAATGGAACTGGCGTTTAAAGACGATGGTAAGACGAGGATGAAGATTAAATCTTCTATTGAAAAGTACTTGCAAAATTATAGCAACAACATTTATAAACCGCGCGATATCGAAGAAAAGAAAGGGGAAGAGCATTTTCAAGATATAACATCATCGGCAAAAGATATTGCAAATATTCTTGCGAGTCATAACATTAAATCACACGGGCTGTATGAAAATGTTGAAAATTATGACGACGCCTATGATTCAGAAGATTGCATGAGTGAAAGGGATAAAAATTTTCCTTGTTCAAATATCGCAACTAATACTACGCAAGTAACGTTTGTCGATAAAATTCAAGACAGTAAAACAATTTGTGATAATACATTCCTTGAAAATACAGAATATAAGAACACGCAACCGATAAAAGTTGATGTAAAATCTATCGGTACTTCGAAACAATCAAATCTAACAAGTTACCAAGATAACGCTTTTATTAAAATGGGATTGAATGTTTTAGAGAAAAATTTATCGGAAGACAAATTGTCGCAAATATTGCAATCGGAATACTTGAAAAAGAATTTATCTTTATAATTCGTGTAATATATCTGCCGTATAATGGCATAGATATCTTTCATATATATTTTACTGCTTTTAAAAATATTTTTAAATTACATTTTAAATTTTGTAATTTTTCACCATTTCATAAACTTTATTATTTCTTGGTTTTTTTGTCAACACAAGATGAATAAATCATACCTTTTCTATGCTAAAATGTTAAATAATATATAAGTGTGAGTTAAATTTTTTTTTTATGTACAGTCTTATGTTTTATAGATAGAATATACATTTTATATCCTAATACACTGCAAAACTAAAATTTTACGCTCTTATCAGAACATATCACAAAATGCTTTCTGCTAATTTTTAATCGATATAGTACATGTATAAATTAAAATGCGTAATTAGTATCATAAATATGTATAAGCGTATCTGCCATATATTTCTCAATTAATTGTTCAAACCAACTGTTTCATTCATCAAACTATGGCACTATTTGTCAAAATCACACTTCAAAAAAATGATACGATTTAATATAAATATAAATAAAGCACCTTGATATGTGTTTTCGACTCTCCAATACGCCATGACCAAATACACTGCACCAACTTCTTGTAACCATTCACAATTGCAGTTGTTGACTAAGAATAGTTTACAATAATCTTGATGCAAATATGCATTTTTGCATTGTCTTCAACAAATACTTGACTATTCCTCTCTTTTCAATAATACATAATCGTCGGTTGAGAGCATATCACAACACTGGAAGCGCCGAGCTGTGACTTTGGTATATTATAGCACCGGTGAAATTGATCGCTGCCGCCAGTACGAAAACCGGCATCCACCAACCGTGCGAGGCAGTCACTAATTCGGCCGTCAGTGGGCCGCATAGAATTCCAGGTATTGTTGCCTACGAATCAAAATATAGAAAATATAAACAATTGTCTACGCTGCAATTGATATTTAATATAAATAAGAAAAATCATACTTACAATTGTATTTGAAACTGCAAATGTAATTCCCGCATGATTCGGAGCTATATCCGCGTGGTTACTTAGATGTCCAGCAGAATTGCATGCGCAAAGGCCCATAGATATCGAAACAAAGCTAAAATAATTAGAAAAATGATAAAACTAACGACAACTTTCTTTTAATCTTGACATTGTTATTTGAAAAAATTCATATACAATCTACATCATGTAAAAACCTCATTATTGAGAAAAAAAATGTCCAATATTATTAAAGCACACAATATGTAAAATATAGTAATTGTTGTACATACACAACTGCTGCAAATAGATCATCTACAGCACAGAAAGCTAATAAGAATGCACCAGGTCCTATTAGGCCTATATTGGTCATCAATCTTCTAACGGATAAAACAGACCATCTCTTTTGTATCAAAGTGTCAGCGCTGTGACCAGCAACTATGCAAAAGAAAATAGATATTTTTTTCGAAAATATATTTAAGTATAAAATTGGAAAATACAATTTTACACTCACCAATGCCAACAAGAGAATTGACAACATAAGGAAGTGCTGTCAAACTAATGCTCTCTTTGTTCGCAGATAAGTTTCTTGCCAAGTACGTTGGCAGCCACTGCATTATTATATAATTACTCCAGTTCATTGCAAAGTGTGCTATATATAAAGCCCACAATGGCAAATGTGCAATAAACTCAGTCCAACGTAAGCTTCTATTTTGAGCTACCTGTTAATTATTATATATGAATGCAGAATAATTAGATAATATAGAGATAATTAGAATATAGACATATCAGAAAAAGAGATGTTTACCTTAGGAACAAATAATGGTATCTCATCTTGAGAGTTAGTTTCTTGATATAGCATCAACCATAACAGAGTCCATAAAATACCTATCGATCCAAATAGAAAAAATCCAGTTTGCCACGCCAAGTGTGGACATATCTATAAATAAAAAAATTCTGTATATTTTCTAAAATATAATTTTTCTTTGTATAAAATATATATAAAAAATATGATTAAACTTACGACAGATGCGACTACCTGGCCGACAGAACCAGCAGCTACAAGATAACCGAAAGCGCGCGACCTTTCCTCCACAGGAACATTATGCGCAAATAAGTGAAATATCACAGGTAGGCCTGTAAACAACATAATATTAAATCTTATTCTAAAAAGTCATGCTATTTCTCATTAGCTTCTTTTATTCTTACCTAGTCCTTCTCCAAGTCCTAAAATCACCCTGCAGACTATGAGTAACGGCACCGACTGTGCTAGTAATGGTGTGACAACTGTGCTAATAGACCACAACAAAACCGCCAACATTAGTACCGTTTTGCAGCCGAAACGACTCGCTGTACTTGCACCGATGATCTTGAAAAACAAAATAAATGATTACGTATTAATACAAATGTATGTATATTTTCCAGCACATTGATACAAGGACGCAGATTGACCTACCTGACTAGTGAAATATCCGAAGGCGAACGCGGACAGTATCCATCCCTGCCAGTATAAGTTCCACTTGAATTCGTCGGTCATGGGGACGATGGCGATGGGCATGATGACCCTGTCCGCGGCGTTTATGAAATTCGCGGCGGAACAGAGTGCCACGATGCGCGATGTGCGCGGCAACATCCTGAATTTGGCCATTTCCACACTTCGTGCTCCTCTCGAATCGATCCGGTTCAACGATCACCAGCGGCGATCACATCGCACGTATTCGGCTCGATTTTCATCGATTACGCGTAACTCAAGCTGAAAGAGGACCTATTGTCGACGCACGAAGAGTCCTAACCTCCGTGCTGTCGTAAAAACGAAAAACAGTCTCGCGATGATGCGTCTGTAGCTGCGAAACGATCGAGATAATCGGGATTGTGACGACGCGCACGTCTTATTTCGATAAACGCGTCGCGTTAATGTTAGGAATCGCGATTTAAAGTCATATTAGCGCGAGGATACAGGTACAACGAGACACGATTATCATATAAATTTGACGTGTCAACCACGTCATAGATGGCGTGGATGTTACCGATGTGTTCGCGCCACTTTGAAATTTAACTCGCTTAACTCAATCATCAGTCTTATTATGAAAGTGCGCATCTGTCCTTAATACTATTTATATATTATTATTATTTGCAGGCACTTTTTATTAGCTGACAGAAAAAAAGAAGAATTACAATAATGGATGTCGAAATTGAACAAAATACTAAGTTTAATTAGAGTTTGGGGACTATTTATAGAGTTAGACAAAACTGTTGACAAATCAGTTAAGTATTTTTTTATGTACTTGGCGTCACGACGCTACCGCGTCGTTTGATATAAAAATATATACAGAAATGTGTGTAAATCTTGAGTCTATAAATGTCTTCTACTAAGTATTAACATATTTTATTAGTCATATCAATATTACACAATATGTAAATAATTCTTTATCAATTCAAATTTTTTGTAAGATTTCAATTTCGATGTAAAAATATTGTTCATATCTCATATAAATATCTGGAATTTCAAAAATATTACGACGTATTCACCCATATTCCAGTATATATGATATATCTAATGATGTCCAAAAATATTTATGTTGTGTGTGTGCAGTAATTAGACAATTTAGTAAAACTGAGTATTGCTTTTAATTGCACTTTTTTATATTTTTTCTTTCTACATTTAAGATATATAAAAATTTTCAATATATAGGAAAGAAGAGGAATGAAATAAAATGTAAAAAAATATAATTAAAATTATTTAATACACTTTTAAACTATAATTATCAAAATATAAAAATAATATTTTTCTCCGTACATTTTTAATAAAAATCTTATTTATTTTAAATGTGTGGGCTGAACCATTGTACAAAAAACGGAATCGAATCGTTACGATGTGAAATTATAAAAATCAACAATTTTTCCAAACAGTAGCCGTAATCTCGGATGACCAAATTCTTGCACGCGTAAGGCGTATTATTTACAATCAGTTTTTAATTAATCGGTTTAGACGGAAGGCAGATGCGCTCCCTCGGGACGGAATCCGTTCTCGTCGGCGACGTAGTTGACGGTGTATCTGACGTTGGTTTCCGGATCGACGTAGGTGAAGCTACCACGGACGGCGAGGCTCTCATTCTCGTGGCCGGCGTTCACCAGCTGGGCAGATTCCTGATGGGCCTGGCCGTTGGAGAGCTCATAACCATATTGATATCCGTCAATGCCGATATTGTCCAGAGGCGTCTCCTTCACGAGTACCGTCTGACTATAATCGTGAGGGGGAGCAGCGACAGCGATGGCCACGAGGGCGCAGAGAGCGATGATCTGATCAAAAAGAGAATGTCAATTAGTAATTGTCAATTAATAACGATCTGTTAATTTGCTTAATTTGTTGTTCGCGATTGTGGTAAGCGATTGGTTCCACAAACAAATTGCAAGTATAATATTTTAATATCTCCGGATCTTTTAAACATATGATTCACGATAATAATCTCTTTGTATCAATATGCGATAAATTTCGTTCACATGTATGGGAACGAGAATTGGACTCGTGAAATTACAATTCCCAATCCTCAAAATATACGCACTGTTTTCATGTTGAAGATAGGTGTGTGCAGCTACTCTGGTGCCGAAGAAGAGACTGATGTGGATAGCCGAAATCAGCGGCGATTTTATAGCGCTCCTCCTACTGCCAAAATTTGACTGGGCCTATTCACCTCTCACCTTTCCTCCCCTATTTGTATCGCTAGTTAACACGTTTGTCGACTGTGATTAAAATATTGACCTTCGTGAAAATTGTTCACCAACACGCTACCAGATGATTTGAAAATATTATATACATTTTAGTAAAAATTGCACCATTTTTCATTGCATTATCAATAATTAAACATTATGACATTATGTAATTATTATATATTAGAAGTCCACATGTTGACACATTCTTAGCTATTTCATAATTAATAAATCCATTATATGAAAACAAGATTAAGTAATTCCATTCGAAAGTTGTGACATATTTAAAAATAATATTAACAGATTAACATATATAAAATAATATTAAGATACAATTAATACATATTGTAATTTTACTCAATATTTTTAATATATCATCTAAATATAATAAGTTTATATATATAAACTTAGTATTAAAAAACCTTTAAATAAACATTTATATATATATGTATAATACATCTATTATATCTATTAAAAAGTCTGCTACAGAGTTGATTATATATATATATTAAGAGAGCAGAAAAGAATTTTATTTTTTTCACAAGAATATTTATTTGAGATATCATCATTAATTATTAATGCAACCTTTATGGCAACGTAATGTATGTAGCTTTGCGCGAATCAAAAATTTCCTCTGTCATAAATTAACGCAACCTTGGTCTGTAAAGTAGCGACAAGTTTATATTTAATTATAGACATTTATCTCGTCCCCTATTAGCGAAATTTTAGGCGCCCTCGAAAAATGCTATTCGCCGAAACCTTGAAAGCAATAATAATGTAGAAATGATGTATTTTTAATCCTTGATACGATCAAGGGAAACTACTTATTTAATCTATCCGTATTTTTTATCGTTATACATCTTATTGCAAAACCTGTCATTAATGTGATGGGCGTGTTATTTTCAAAATTCTAATCAAATTATCGATGGATTTATATTAAAAAATGTATGGAAAATATGTTACCATAAAGCTATACTTACTAGATACAATATATGTGAATAAGAAAAAGTTGAAAATATAGTACTAACATTTGTATATATATAATATATAACAATGCAATTAACAAATTTTTAATTATTAGTAAAAGTAATAATTTAATAAGTAATAATTAAAATGTTTTTTTATATAATTATTTCGCGCGTGTATAACGGCTTTGTAAATAAATAATTGACATTATATATATTTTCTATAAAGATTACAAAAATGACAAGTTTAATATGTGTTTAAAAATTCTTTCATATCTATTTTCTTTCATTACAATATATCATAATTTCATCATAATATACTACAGGGAATTATAAATGTATAAAATGAATGTGAAATAGTACAACAGATAAAAAGATATTTAAAGACGTTGAGAATAAATAAGCGCTAGTTTCAATTTCAGCCTTTGGTTTAAAATGACAAAAAAATTAAAAGCATTTAAAAATCATTTAGAAGAATTAAATATTTCGAACTACATGATACAAATGCAACAGACAAACAATTCAAGAAAGTTTATAAATCCGTAATAGTTTATACTTTGCAGATATGATTCTTTTTCTGTAACCTTTGATATTATTCTTTAATAAACTATAATTTAAAAAATAAAGGTATCTTAGAATGGATAAAATACGTTCCAAATATTTAAATTACTTTGTTATTGAATTTATTCATTTCCTATATAGAGAACTATATTACTATATAGAATATTTTCTATAACATATTCATATATATAAATTACATTTACGTATTTATTGCAAGATGTATACTATATGATAATAAACAATATTTGATACATTCATATATTTTTATTAATTTAGCAAAGGATACAGATATATTAAAAATTGTGTAACATATGTACACTGTATTGCTATAATTTGTTGAATAAATTGATCGGATCAATTAAAGATCATTTGTTTTAGTCAAACATTTATTAATCTGCTTCATTCTCTATTTTGCTGAGAACGTTACTTATCTATTAATAAAATCGGAATAATATGTTGGAAATGGAGGAATTGTGAAATAAATGTTGGACGATAATTATATAAAAATGAATTTATTTTAAAACTAGGTCTATGTCGTGCGGAATTGCTACGATCGAAGAAATCAAAAGAGTTCGAATTTCTTCGAGCATAGAGACGAGATTAAACTGTGAAAGAATTCGATCATAATATTTGCAAGGGTTCTCGCTAAGATTTAGACAGACGGCAGATGCTCGCCCTGGGGCTGGAATCCGTTCTCATCGGCGATGTAGTTGACGGTGTATCTAACGTTGGTGACCGGATCGACGTAGGTGAAGCTACCACGGACGGCAATACTCTCATTCTCCTGTCCAGCGTTCACCAGCTGGGCAGATTCCTGATGGGCCTGGCCGTTGGAGAGTTCATAACCAAATTGATATCCGTCAATGCCGATATTGTCCAAAGGCGTCTCCTTTACAACCACCGTCTGGCTGTTGTCAAACTCCGTATTAAAAACAGGCGGGGATCTTGCGAGGGCAACAGCAACGACGGCAGCAAAGACAATGATCTAAAATGTGAATAAAATAATTTAGAATGTCATTTGTTAAATGATTCCAATCATTTACATATAATAAAATATTGTAATGCCTAGTATATATCCCGGAATACTTTATTATAACTTTTGACTATTTTTGTTTTCCTTATTTTAGGCTACTTGTATATATTAATTACATATTATTATATAAGGGTAGATGTGTAAATTAAAAAATATGTATTGTCTTATTTGCGCGGATCCAAAATAGCTCTAATAATAAGGATGATAGCAATGATCCCCAAATTTTAATATTTGCAAGATATTTTGTTTCCTCTTATAAGAGAAAGTGTGATAATGCCTTAATGGCCTTAATTAATTTTAATAACGAGCTGTATGATAACGCAATGACGCGTGATATCCCGATTGTTTCGTAATCCTTAAAGTCCGAACGAGCGAAAGTTTCTGAGGGCGGTCACTACACCGAGAGAATATGCACGATTATTCCAAAAATTCGTCGTGAATTTGCCGACCGATCCACTAAGCGATCGCGTAAACACTCTTTTGTCTCTTCGAGGATTATTATTGATTATCGGAAAACACGCACCAGCTTCATGGTTGATAGTTTTGCGGTTTCTCTCTTTCTCTCTTGAAAACAATGAGATGATCTCTGAGGAGATGGCTCACTAGACTGATCTTATATATGGCCGATAGTGAATATATATAGCCCGAATTGTGATGTGAATTATACCCTACCATCGTTCACGGCATTGCCAAAATTTTCATGTTCATGTGTCGAAATCTTTAAATGACCGCGAGAGCCGGTGATGGCATAACAACCATGTTGTGCGGCTGAAAATGTCAGGTAGGAATGTTTGAGGGTCAGATACTGGGAGTTACCGTGCGCATCCGAACAGGTCGATAATTCTTTACTCGATTTAATTATTTATCGCGCCGATAAGCGATTTCGATTGAACAACGCACGTTAAAAGTTACGAAAGATTTAATTAATAATTTTTCGTGGAATATCGATTTTGATATGAACAGCACTTATAACATATTGCGTTTATAAGAGAATTATTTATTGAAATGCGCGTGGTTGTATTAGCTTAAATATGTACTAAATAATTCGAAAGCTAATACCAGTCTCAAAGCAATTTTAAATGCACTTTGAAGAGTAAAATGAGGAATAAACTTTAAGCTTCGTTAAAGGTTACACGTAAATCCCTTTCCTCGCATATCCTCTTAATCCGGTGGTCTTCTATAATGTTTTTACATTACGCAATATCTCATTCTAATGCAGACATTAACACAAACGTATGGCAATGTATTCGGCTAACTAACTAAATTCTATGGATCGAAATGGATAATCCATCATGCATGATTCTTGTTGCATCATATTACGATACGTCGGAGTCAGCTGCCAGCGAAACATTTCATTTAGTTAGAATTAAATCAAAAGAAAAATTGTAGACAAATAAACTTATAAATTATTATCGAGAAAATCTTTTTGGAAACTTATTCTAAATTGATAAGTACGCGACAATATAATAATTATTAATGCGCATTTATTTCTGTTTCTAATCGATTGGAAACAAATATATTTAATATGTCTATTGTTGTAAGTTTATCATTTTATAACAAATTTATCTCAGTAATAATCTGTTGTATAAAGAAAAATTATTTTTTTAAAGTAATTTAAATACATACAT